CGAGCTCGAGGAATTCGAATGTGAAGTCAGATTTCAAAAATTATAAATTGAGTTTTTTGGTCAGGAAAAGGGTTTTTCGAGAAAATAACGATGTCTTATAAAGGTTAACGAAAGCAGATCGGGGTCGAGAAATTCGAATCTGAAATCAGATTTTCAAAATTTAATGCTGGATTTTTTTCGATAATTTCTTGTTAAAAAACTCCGATATTCATGAAAACAGTTCTTCGTAGAAAACCTAGGAAAAATACATGATGCTGCCGGATTAGATCCTTCATCTGCTCAATAAACTTTCTTGAAAGACTCGATGTCTTTTTTTTGTGAAAGCAAGAAAATCCTGAAGTAAGCGTGTAGTCATGGGATGTCAGGGTCCGTGACAGGATTTGAAACATGATTTAGGCAGGATTTCGGGCAGATTCCTACTAATATTGAATCAGAAATCGTTCATGAAAATTTTAAATCGAAAAAAGTGTATAGTCATGAAATTCCAAGATTTTTGCAGAGTTCGAAAGAGGATTCAATCAGGATCTTGACTAGTTTATCATTTCATTTAAAATCACAGATCCGTTCAGAAAACCGTAGTTTCAGTAAGAAACGTAAAGTGAATGAATATTAGACATTTTGACTAGATTCGTATGAATTGCAGATTTTTCTAGGTAGGCATACAGCTTGAATTTCCTGAGTTCGGTAGTCTTGGGTTTAGTGGCTCCCAGATACCGAGATTCCCTGATTTAGTCAGTCATAGAGTTCAAGCAGCATTAAGAACTAATAGTGTGCACAAATATTATGGGTTGATAGAAATTTTATACTAAAAAATCCTAATCTTTTTAAGCCCACTAAGGGTGCTTTGATTCGTGAAAAAAGGTAAAACGAAAAAGTTACTTTTTGAATTTCTTTTTACATTGAAATGAAACCAAATACTCAAAACTTTTCATCGTATTGAGTTTACTCTTCTTATAAGGATCACCGCCTACTATGGATAAATCCTGTTCTTATAGGTTATCTAAAGAGAATAAGCGTTTCGAGACTAAACAAATACCATATCATTAGACTGACAAATTCTCTGCTTGAAATTACTCAAACTCATCAATAAATTACACATATATAGGATCCTATTGGCCATAGGATACATGTCGCTCTTAACGTTTGAATCTTGAACATTTGAGTCTATTATTACGGGTAATCAATTTACATTTTTAATAACTTATCAAACTTACAATTCAAAAAGATCAAACTTGAAAGTAAATTTTCAAAATTTTGATTTTAAAATAAAGTTAGTTCACCTTAAAATTGAACTCCCAGGAACTTAAATTTAAAATAATATAAGATTCTCATCTATATGCACGTTCCAAATAGTTGGCTTGTAATTTTTGTTTCGAAAAGACCTTCTTGTAGAAGTTAACATTAAGAATGATAGTCTGCTTATATGTTTGTTTTAAATTTCGAGGGATGTGGGTATGGGTGTAGATGTGGTGTGGCAGGGTGGATGTGTGGGCGTGGATATGTGTCTTTTTATAAACACCCACACTCCACACCTGCACCTACACCGTCTTTCTAGTGCTTACGTGTGAGTATAATAAAGGGGCAAAGGTAGCCAAAGAAAGGTTCTCCTGTTCTACGCTGGTGTTTTCTCTTTTACGCTTGTTTACGAGAACAGATTAAGACAAAATCGACTGAAGATAAGCGACGTAATGTAACTATATAATTATCAAAAGAAAGCAAGATCAGACAATGACTAATAATGATATCTGCCTACCTTTTCAGAGAGGATACACTCATTCCTTCTATACAAAGAAGCATAAGTGGAAAAAAAACATAATTTCGTTGGAACAATATATAAACTTGCGACAAACAGCTATCAATCAAAAAAAAAACTATCCGTCGAATATGATCGTGTTAATTTAATAGTATGTGGAGAGCCCTACTCATTATAATCTGATATTATTTGGGATACTGTCCCATGGAATAAAAGGGTACCTAGCATGGATAGAGTACCAAAGGAAGCACGCAAACTATTTGCTGATGAGCTAGGCTAATGTGCAAAGAACACTCAGAGAACTATAAAGAGGGATAAGTCCAATCACAGCTTTACTTTTAGATGATTTTTTAACAGGTTCTCTAAGAGAAACATTATTTATTTATGTGAACATTCTCTTTCTTTTTTGTTTTTTTTTGTAAGTATATTTAACGCTTCAATCAACAAAATTCATCATCAGAAAATTTTTTAGATACTTATGATAAATTAAAATAAGACAAATTAACAAATAAAATATGATAAACAGGTATCAAGGTGACTAATTTGATTGCCAAATTTATTATTTCCATTTCTTGTCAATTTATATATAGATAATGTAATACGGATGTGGACAAGATGGTGGAAACGAGAATCCTTCTTCTTTTCTTTCAATTGTCCGTACGAATATGATAATATATATTTATATATAGAGAGAGAGAAACAAGAGAAAGAAATAATGGATTTGGCAATTGTATTAGTCAACCTGATGCCTTTCTATTAAATTTACTTATTATTTTTGTGGAACTCACGTATATTTTCGAAGACAATATTAAGTGTAAGTTTTAAGTTCAAGTTTTTCCCATTACAGACAAGCCACCATTGCAGCCCCTAGCAACCACGCACAACAGGCTTCAGATTCTATACAACATTTCAATCCTTTAACAATTATTTGAAAAAAACTATTCAGTTAACAAATTATGCATGAGGATTTCAAGTTTGAAGGATATACGTGAGGTCCACATTTCAGCTCCAAAGGAGCTGCACTAACGAGCTTTATTTATCTTGCTTTGATTCGTCATAAAGGTTTTAAAATTTTTTTCTGAGGCAAATTCATTTCATTGACCAAAATGTTAAATATATAACCAAAACAATAAAGAAAGAGAATCTTTACATGAGTAAGGTCTAAAACCGTCCTCAATCGGAAAGATTTATTATTCATCAGATAAATTAAGCTGTTCCTATAGGCCAATGTGCGAAAATTGCATCGGTGGGAATCTGTGCTACGTTTCAGTAGCTACTTTGATCTGATGACACTTTCTATTAGACTTCATCTCAACTGCACTCATTTTTTGATTCTCACCGGCTCTCTACAGCTGGCAACTTAACTTTTTGGTGATTTTGATGACATTATCGCCAATATAGTTCGAGAAAAGAGATATTCACTCTCAACTAGGAACGAACCAATCATTTTAACTCAAACCAAATAAGATAGATATTAAAAGACTTTGCTTAACACTGAATGACAATTTTTGTAAGGAAAAACTTAACCCTTAATATAAAGTTTAAACTTTTTGACTCAGGTTTAGATTTGCTTGAAATAAAATCTGCATGATTGTATTGTGCAGACATCATTTTATGTCGAGTTTTTCCCTATTCCAATACGGACTTCATGAGGTATGTTCTGACCAATTTTAGAGATAAGACTGCTAAACTGTGATCGCCCAGAACAACATTATGCTTTTTTCTTAGAATAGGGCTGAAACCATAGGCAAATATCTGATTCATTAAAACTAAGAAGAGTCTAGCTGATCAGATTTCAAAAAATTATTTCTTCACTATTGTAAGAGCAAATTATGGCGTTGTTCGGGTCAACCGGGGAGGAAGGAGGTGACAAGAGTTCTCTGTTAAAATGGTTAGGCAACATCTTACTGAGTCTGTTTTGGAGTAAGAAAACCTCGACATTAAATGATATTTTCTCCACATAATCAATTAAACATATGTTTCAGTGAAATAAGTGTTTAATCCAACAACAATAACCTGATATTAAATGTAAAGGAATAACAATTAACTTGTATGAAGTTAAGCTAAATGGACTACTTTTACTCCAAACGACAGAGAATTCTGTCTGAAGTTTTTCTCTTAAGTTCATCGAAGAATCTCTTTTAATTTTATCTCGTAATGTATAAGTCACTGTTTAGATTACAGACATTTGTGTACACTAACGATTGGTTACACATCAACGATAAGTGATTGTGCAAGATATTTTACCCATAGATTATGAAACTTAGACACAAACTTTCTGTTTTATACTTTAATTGTAAGTCGAATGAACCACCATGCATGCTGTAATCTCAAGAGGATCGGTATAGCTATGGGCACGAGACAAGCAAAGTTAATGAATACAAACACACTGATACCTATACTCTATGAAACAATGCATTTAGTAGTAGAATAAGACACTCAAAATCTTTGCTTCGAACTCCTATTCAGCAAGAGAAGGAGAGTTGTCTGTAAAAAGGGTCTATCATCAGTCCTTGTTTTCAAGTAACTCCCGATCACGGTCACAGAAAAATATTGAGACTTCAACAATGCATCCCTTCTCCAGGTTTTTCGTCGAAGTTACCAGATTACTTCTCTAGAAAGCCTAAATAATACACGATACTCAATAAATCAAAAGCGACTTTCAATTGCATTTTTCGATGCAGCCCGTAGAGTTTCAAGTGAACACAGTGGTTTGAATACAAATTCAAGAGAGCTCTCGAAACAAGCAGAAGTGGGTGTAAATATTTGTTGAAACAAGTGCCAACCTATGGAATACTACTCTCTTACGCATCATTATGAAGCCTTGACAATATTCTACGAAACGAGGAATACTAGCAAGAAAGTGAGAAATCCAGTTATTTTGCTACTTTCTTTTTGTTCTCTCTAACCATCATCACAAGACCTTGAGTTTGTCTCATTCATCGTTTGAATTACAATGTGATTCAAGAATGAAAATGTATATAACACGAAAAAATCATCTTTTTTTATCTTTTCTTCCAAGAAAAACCTTGGAGAAACAGCTAACTGTTTCTAAAAGAATTACATTGTTGTCCTTTTCGGAAAGAGTAACACGGTCCAAAGATTTCTCTCTTAGCAGGTTAAACAAAGTATATAAACACTGAGTTACTCTTATCAGTGTTTCATGAAATCAATTTATTTTTCGTTATTTGTCTTCATTCCAATATACTACTCGAATGAAAAAAAAATGTTTCAGATTCATAAGCGAATGAAAATCTTCGGCTTTCTCTACCTTTTGTTATTATTTGCAACCGTCAACTGTTGCACAACGCGTACCGCTAAAGCAAAGATTAAGAATAGATCTGGTCACAAAATTCTGTCTGCAACACTTAAGCACCGATACAGTGATGCTTTCGATGAGTCCAAGGAGTTTGGAGTTATTGAAGATGGTCAAGACAGTACAGATTATTTATCGGTTCGATATCATACTGGTGTTGGATGTAACGGTTATGATTGGTGGCTTATAACCTGGATTACAGATGATGGCACTGCATACAGTAGTGATCCCGACAATGGTCAATGTTGGCTTTCGATTCTAGCAAACGCGGCATCAGACCTTCTGGGTGCATTTTCTTCAATAGCTGGAGCACTAACAAAAGACCTTGTCTCTGCTGCTTTACAACTATTATCAACAATTACGGAGTATACTGTGAATGGAAGCGACTTTTGTGGATTTAAATCCTACACACTGACAGGCGATGATGACGACTCAGAAGTGAATATTATCTTACGGCCTTCTGCAAGTAACGGAGTTAAATGGGAGTCACCCTCTGGATCGGCAACAACGGATTATAAAATATTAGACATCTATCCAGGTTTCGCCGTGAAACCAAACGTGGATCTAAGTGGAAATGATATTGGTGACTTAGTAAACAGTCCTACATCGTCTAGTGCTTCAGCCTGTTGTAACCTGTGCTTTATGAATAGTAAATGCCAGTCATACACATGGCAGTCAATCAATCATAAGTGCTATTTAAAAACATACAATAGTGGTAGTGGAATAGCAAGTAGCACTGCCCAATCTGGAGTTCGTCAGTGTAAATAGCCCGTTTTATATTTGATCTTTGACAAATATTCTAAAAGATTCTTCCTTTAGCTGGTGCTGCGTATTTTGCTGTGCAAAATGATTGGAATTTCGCTGGAAACGATCTGAATAGCTCAGTTGCCTCCAGCTATGCAGATTGTGCTATGAGATGTGCTAAGAATTCTGCTTGCAACGTTTTCACAATGTTCAAAAGCAATGGTCTTTGTTTGCTAAAATCCAGCACTGGTCGTGGTGGAGCGTATAAGTCCGATATAATATCTGGATATGAAGGAGGTAAAAACAATGGCGACGACTAGAACAAATTAAATCTATTAATTCTTTTTTTTATTTTGTTCATAGACTATACTGGAAAATTTATTAGACAGTCAGGAGCTGATTTACGTGGAAATGATCTTGGTGATACATTAAGTCCACCTGTGGTAGACAGCTATGCAGCCTGTGCTTCGCTGTGCTACTTGACTGCTGAGACGTGTCAGTCTTTTACATGGAATTCCAAAACTAGGCAATGTTTTCTCAAAACATATCATAGTAAGAATAACACAAAGTGGAATGTCGACAACGTAGAATCTGGTCTTTTGGGTAATGACTTAAATTTCAACAATTCTTTCTTCAATTATCATTGATTTCAGGACAGTCTCGTCTTATCAGAACCAACGGTCATAATGAGCACGGCAAGTATCATAACTTTGAATACTGTCCTCCAGGCTCATGGGCTTATGGTTTTCAACAACGTGTAGAAAAGGATCAAGGAAATAATGATGATGATACAGCTTTAAACGCGATTCGTTTATACTGTAGATCGAAAGATGGCAAGTACACTGGCAGCATAAGTTCATATGACGGCGACTGGGGTGATTGGAGTAACAATGTCTATTGTAGTGGAGACAATGAATTTATGGTGTCTGCTCACCTGAAAACTGAGGACTACAGCTTTGCTGATTGTACAGGAGTAAATAGCTTTAAATCTCGATGTCGCGACGTTACGACAAACACCATTTCCGCTAATTACCTTGAAGCTGACAATGGGGCACAGTGGGGTGATTGGAAGGGTGAAGTCATTTGTCCACAAGGAACAGCCATTTGTGCTATCAGTTCTAAATATTATAGGGCCAGCGGCATCGATGCTGATGACCAAGGAATGACCGACGCAGAATTCATATGTTGCGCATTGGATTTAGAAAGGACCGATCAAACTTCAGAGCTCCAACCGGCTGTCGGTCCATTTGGCGATTTTCGTACCTATGCATACTGTCCTGAAGGTACATGGGCTTATGGTTTTCAACAACGTGTTGAACCCGACCAAGGAGTGGACCATGATGATACATCATTAAATGCAATTCGTTTATATTGCAGAAAAACAGATGGTACAGGCATCAAGAGCATAAGTTCATATGATGGAGAATGGGGCGATTGGAGCAATAGTGTGTACTGTTCTGATCCTAGTACTCCATTCATGTTTTCTGCGGCCTTTAAAATTGAAGATGATCAAGGAACTGCTGATGATGATACAACAGCAAATGGTTTCAAGACACGATGCTGGAATGGGAAGGCAGGCAGCTATAGCAACGTGTATGTTGAAGGGAGAAGTAGCGGACCGTGGGGCAAATGGAAGGATGAAGCTGCGTGCCCCGAAGGGTCAGCGATTTGTGGTATCAGTTCCAAATATGAAAAATCTCAAGACTCAGGCGATGATACAGCGATGAACGGCGCATTCTTCAAATGCTGTTCATTACCTTCAGAAAGAGCTGATCAAACTTTCGAACTCCGACCGACTATCGGTCCATTTGGTGATTTTCGTACATATGAATACTGCCCTGAAGGTACATGGGTTTATGGTTTTCAACAACGTGTTGAATCCGACCAAGGAGCTGGATCTGATGATACAGCATTAAATGCGATTCGTTTATATTGTAGGAAAAAAGATGGTACAGGGATTGAAAGCATAAGTTCATATGATGGAGCATGGGGCAATTGGAGTGATAGTGTCTCCTGTACCGATCCGAGTGCTCCATTCATGTTTTCTGCGACCTTTAAAATTGAAGATGATCAAGGAACTGCTGATGATGATACATCAGCAAATGGTTTCAAGTCACGATGCTGGAATGGTAAGCCCGGCAGCTACAGCAACGTGTATGTCGAAGGGAAAAATAGTGGACCGTGGGGGGATTGGAAGAGTGAAGCCGCGTGTCCAGAAGGATCAGCTATTTGTGGTATCACTTCCAAATATGAAGAATATCAAGACTCAGATGATGATACAGCCATGAACGGCGCATTCTTCAAGTGTTGTTCATTAAATTCAGCAAGGAGTGATGAAACTTCCGAACTCCGACCAACGGTTGGTCCGTTTGGCACTTTCCATGCATATTTATACTGTTCTGAAAGTACATGGGCTTATGGTTTTCAACAACGGGTTCAACCACCACAAGGCTCTGATGATGATACAGCCTTAAATGCGATCCGGTTGTATTGTAGAAAGAAAGATGGTACAGGTATTGAGAGTATAAGTTCACATGATGGAGAATGGGGCGATTGGGGTGAAGGTGTCTACTGTTCCGATCCAACTGCTCTGTTCATGTTTTCTGCGACCTTTAAAATTGAAGATGATCAAGGAATATCTGTTGATGATACGTCAGCGAATGGTTTCAAATCTCGATGCTGGAATGGCAAGCCGGGCAACTCGAGCAACGTTTACCTTGAAGGGAAAAGTACTGGACCATCGGGCGATTGGAAGACTGAAACTGCTTGTCCAGAAGGATCAGCTATTTGTGGTATCAGTTCAAAATTTGAACAATCGCAACAGTCAGGTGACGATACAGCAATGAACGGTGCATTCTTCAAGTGTTGTTCATTAAATTCAGGAAGGAGCGATGAAACTTCTGAACTCCGACCAACGGTCGGTTCATTTGGCGATTTTCATCAATATATATACTGTCCTGAAGGTACATGGGCTTATAGTTTTGCACAACGTGTCGAACCGGATCAAGGAGTTGGGCATGATGATACAGCACTAAATGCGATTCGCCTATATTGTAGAAAAAAAGATGGTTCTGGCATTGAGAGTGTAAGTTCATATGATGGAGCATGGGGCAATTGGACTGATGGTGTCTCCTGTACGGACCCAAGTGCTCCATTCCTGTTTTCTGCGACCTTTAATGTTCAAGATTATCAAGGAATACTTGGTGATGATACATCAGCAAATGGTTTCAAATCTCGATGCTGGAATGGCAAGCCGGGCAACTCCAGCAGCGTTTATCTTGAAGGGAAAGGTACTGGATCGTTGGGCGATTGGAAGAGTGAAGCTGTTTGTCTAGAAGGATCAGCTATTTGTGGTATCAGTTCCAAATTTGAAGAACCTGAAGAGTTAGGTGATAATACAGCCATGAACGGCGCATTCTTCAAGTGTTGTTCATTGAATTCAGCAAGGAGCGATGAAAGTGCTGAACTCCGACCGACTGTCGGTTCATTCGGCCTTTTTTATAGATATGTGTACTGTTCTGAAGGGGCATGGGCTTGTGGGTTTCAACAAGCGGTTGAATCCGACCAAGGANAAAATTTAATGTAGAGTTAAAAAGAATGCTAAATATTACCGTTCTATTAATCTTTTACCAACTTTCGGTACTATGATTCTTTTTCAGCGATCTGCTGTTTGCTAAGCCAACGTGAAAAAAGTAAAATGATTTTTTTAAATATATTCTTAGGATCACATCTATTTTTCGCGTGAATCTAAACAAAAAAATAATTGATTTTATAACCATACTGGTACCATTACATGTCTTCCACGAATATATCGAAATTAAAACAAAGCAATATAATTTTATAAATTGATTCTTATCATTAGACTTGTTCGTTAACCGTATCTAAATAGAAGAAAAAGTCTTAATTTGATAGATCAATACTTGCCATTATATATCGCATTGAGATTGAGAACGTTCGTTTATCTTATTGTTCATAATAACAAAGAGCAAGTACGGATAAAAACGGTTTGTTAGCACATTTTTTTCTAACGGAAACGTGGAACTCGAATATTTTGATCTCCGGACAGTCAATATCTCTTGTCCGTTTCTGCATTCCATATCAAATTTTCATTGTCTTTTTATATAGTGGTGCTATTTTGTTTTTCTATTCGACTAATAGCTATTCGTTCATGTTTTTTTTACGTATCTCGTGTAAAGTACTTTAAAATTGTGGTAAAGATTCATTATATCGATACCAGCATTGCTCGGTGCTCTATTATGTTCATCTTGATAAGCTCACGAACTCAGATATTGCTTGTTTTCCAGAGGTATGGATTGATCATTTGAAACATTTTATGTTGGTATTTTGACTACTAACAGACCAAATTATCATTGCCCGTCATCGTTTACATCTTCCATAGAAGTTTTTATAAGCATCAATACTCAGATCTAAACTGTTGATGATGCTTAAAAATTTAGTAGAATAACTTAAAGTTCGACAAAAGCTTTGAAATGTTCTACAACACTTGGAGCGTTGTTGGTAATATCGTTGAGCTTCTCTTTCCACTGATAAGAAACCACAGTTGCTGAGGTCTACAATGGGCAGAAGGAACTTGCAGAACTTCAAGTTCAAAGTTTCACTAACTGATTTCTTGGAAAACTTATATGAATTTCCCAATTTTGATGCTCATTCAATAGAGATACATTGAATAATAAAGAAAGATTTTTTTATGCACACCTTATCTTTCATTTTCTTGAGGTTGCTCGCGAAAAGGTTTTAGCATCAGTGATATAGAAAAAAGAAATAGGACTAATTATTTGTCTCTTTGATTGGCATATAAAGAAATCTTTCTTTATTCTTTAACCCTGACAAGCCCATCTATCGAACTACCACTTATTGACCACCTAGGGTCCTTACGGACTCCACTTTTATTAAGTAAAAACAATATACTACATTCACATTTTTGTAATGACACTATAATGGTTCTGGAGTAGACAGGCAACTCTTTCGAAAGTATACCACAATTACATCGACGTCCTACAAATTGAATAAAACTTTCAGCTGTTGTAGGAGTCGTATTTGTAAGCATAACTAAAGATTAGGAATTTCTCCATTTTAAGTGATAAGAAGGTGAAGCTTTCAGAGGAGATACTATTCAATGAGATGATCACTTTATTAAGCGGAAACTTTTTTCTCAGACGTTTTCTTCGCATTAAAAAGTTTCTCACAAAAATCAGCTGTTTCAGGTTTTTGGACACTAAATGTCTCCAACAAGGTACAAGATTTGATGAATGATATTTTTTATTCATCAGAATCGCCTTTGATCATACTTTTCAGTGACCAGACTTAAAGAAGTATAAAACCAAATCTGCCCACTAAGACAAGAAGTTTGGAGTCGTTTAATGAGAAACACAGTCCATATTCGTGAACTACTCAAACCGAGCTAACAAAAAAAAAAAGTTTCAATATAAGCCCGGCGCTTTTATGAGTGATGGATTTTCAATGGTATTTTCACAGAGATCTTCCACAATTTCCAAACTCATTGGCAATCGAAGTAAACACGTTTTTGTTATAGCCTACTGCAACGAAATCTCAAATATAAGGATATTTCATAGAGATAGTGCTTCATTTTCCAATCAAAAGACTCTAAATTTTCGGAAAAAGTGGAAATCGTCTCCCAAACCTCTTGTCTTTGCGGTTAGTTTTGGTTTTTAACCTCTTCAAATCTTATCACGAAAAAGTACATTCAAAGGCGATTCTAACGTAGAAAAAAATCATCCATTAAATCTTTACCTTATTTGAGAACTTTAGCTTTCAAAAATTCGAAAAAGCTAATTTTAGTGGGTAGCTTTTCGATACGAAGAAAATGCCAGATAAAAAAGTTTCCTCTGGATGAAATGATTATCTCATTGAATAGTATCTATATTGAAAGTTACAGCCTTCTTTCATTTAAATAGAGAAATTATAGGGGTCAAATTTTGGCTGAAAGATCTACAATTGTCCTGCGTATTCCGACCTCTTCGCAACGTATGTTCATAGGACGGGGCCTAAAATCTCTGTAAGTTTTATACTATTCGCATGAAGTCTATGTAAAGTGTGTTACATTCTAGAAAGAATTACGCAGACATTGGTCTAAGAAGAATAAACAGCAAGTTATTTTGAATGATATCTATGTATTTTTTCATCACTTTCTGCTTATCTTCTATTCTGAAAATGTTTGGAATTGTGTATTGAGTACGAAAAATCACATGTATCTAACAAAATTCGCTGTGTGATGATGATTGTCATGTAGCACAATGATATTTTGGGAACGATACAGCCTCGGCTTGATTGATTTTTGTTACCGGCGTACTGTACTAGTTGTCCCTTAAGTATAGCTGGAAAAACAAGACCCTGTCTAAGACTACAATTAAAAGTCAATAAAAAGAATCCCATGGGGATCGAAATGAATTCTAGGAGAACGTGTGAGAGTTAATTTATGCTTGTTATTTAAATAATATAGATTTTATTTCTATTTATTCATTTGTATTTTTTATACAGTAAAGATAAACTGGCACTCCGGGTTGAGATAAGTTCAAATAGTAAACATGGTTTATTTTTCCAATGGGCACTCATCATTACATTTTATGTTTAGATTGAAAAGTAATAGTCTTGGTCGAGATAAGTATCTGGACCTAGGACTAAATTGCGACAGTTTAGGGTTGTATCTCATAGTCGTGCACGAAAGATGTTTACGTTCAAAGTACATTTTAATTGCTTTTTCACGTATTCTTTGTATGCATTAATTGTAGTCTGCCACCA